GCCCAGGCGGGTCTCAAACCCGCGGGCTCAGGCAATCCACTCACCTCAGCCTCCCAAAGGCACGGGATTACAGGCTGAGCCACTGAGCCTGGTCAACTGTAGACTTTTTATATAAAGCTGGCACTCTAAAATTTCTATGTTTTATCATTTAATTTTTGTATTACATACATAAAATTAGTTTTGCCTTGAACTTAAATGAATATAATTTTAATGCAGAGGAATAAAGAAGCTTAGTTATAACACCATATAATCTATTTAGGTAATACTTATTATATCTGTTCAACTTAACCAAACTATCAAGAAATATGGCCTATAGTTCTCTTCCCAGTAGGAGATGGACAATTAATTTCATTTCCATCAGAATGCCTTAGTGACTGTAATCTCTTATCCTAAAGTACTTGACTTTCTTGTCATCCATTCATCTTTATTCTATTCATTCATTCATTCATTCATTCATTCATTCCACAAATATTGGTGTTTACCATGTATCAGCCATTCGTGACTTTGCCAATAGTAAGTTCTGCTGCTTGGTGCTTGTAGGCTAAAACAAACAAGCACAAGATATAGTGCAAAGAAGGGGACTTGGTTTGATGGTTATCTTGAATTGTTGTCCACCTGGAGAGCTGACCAGTGCCATCTCAATTGTGGCCAAGTTGTAGAATAATCCCCTTAAGTTGACCTCTAAACAATGGAGAATTCTGTTGTGGGCTTTCCATACTCTGGAACAACCTCTGGAATTTCTCAAACAAGAATACAATTAGATCAGAAAGGAAAAAAAATTTTAATGTGTAGGTTAAGAGAGAAAAAGGTTTACAATTGTTTTTCAAAAGCTGAAATGGAAATTCTCAGTTTCAATTATACATTCTTCTGCATGAATGTGTTTTCATTCCTTTTTCATGTGTGCCATATCATCCAAGTAAGATGTAAATCACTTAAAGACCCAATTTATGTCTTTTTTTTTTTTTGAGTTGGAATCTCACTCTGTCACCCAGACTGGAGTGTAGTGGCCACTCCCGGCCACTGCAGCCTCGACCTGCTGGGCTCCGGCAATCCTTCCGCCTCGGCCTTCCAAGTAGCTGGAACTATAGGTGTGCACTACCACACCCAGCTAATTTTTGATTTATTGTAGAGATGAGATCTCACCAAGTTGCCCTGGCGGATCTCAAACCCGCAGGCTCATGCAATCCACTCACCTCTGTCTCCCAACCTACTGGGATTACAGGCTGAGCCACTGAACCCAGCCAGATATTTCTCTTTTGCAATAATCTTATCTGCTGGTCCTCCTTTCCATTCCAATCACTCTCTGCACACCCACCCACCACCATCATCACCATAAAAACCAAGAGAACTTTCCCTTTGCCTTCTGAAGTTACCCTGAAAAATCAACTTACAAAAGGCAGATCAGGAGAAAAGGCATGCAAATTTACTATCATGCATATATCAGAGGACCACAGAATGGTTACCCAAAACCCCAGTGGGGTACAGAAGTTTGTATCTCATCTTGAAGTTATATAAAGAATGTGGGCGGGAAGCATGGTCAATAACAAGTTATTGTGGCAAATCAGGATATAGAGGTAAGATATATTATAGGAGGGGGAGAAGAGGAGGCTTGGCTAGCAAAGGTGATCTTGTTATGTAGATGAAATCTCACAGGTAGCAACCTTCTGAGAGAATAGGTGGTAAATGTTTCTTTCAGACCTTTAAAGATGTCAGACTCTCTGTAAATCTTTCCTAGATCTGCAGAAGAGAAGTCCTCAGAGAAAAGCTGACTGCATCAATGCAGATTGTCTCTACAAATGCAACTCTCCCTAACAAAAACAGCTTTGCAGACCCTATGAACATCCAGATCCAAATATATCAGACAAGTATATTTGGGGGTGGAATATTTTTATTTCTTTCACTACCAAAATCTGTATACTTTCCAGTACTATCATATGCTTTCCAGTACTACCAATATTCACATACTTTCCTACCCCGAAGAGGGAGATTGGTGTGTTTTTACTGAGTTACAGATAAAGAAGGGAATGGAGTATAAGTGACACTGCCTGTATAAAAATAATGAAAGACCACAAGATTATAATTGTGTCAGGGACCTGAATTTTGTTAGGATGTAAGTATAGCTAAATCATAAATTTATCTTTGACCTTTTCTCTCTTTATTCATATTCTAGCTCCTGCAGCTGCCTGCAAGATTAACAAACTTGTTTTTCTCCTAAAGGACAATGGGCTGTAGGTCATACCAGTCTTCATGACAGTATCCAGAAGTTTCACTGGCCTAAGGTTGTGAGCAATTTCACCTCCACATTCCTTTCAGCTAAGCTATAGACTCGTTAAACGGTAACTAGCCTTTGTTCCCCACTTCTCTATACTGGTTTACTACTGGTAGTAAGACTTGCTCTACTGATAACATCACTATTGTGAAACTTAAGACTGGTGTTTGAGATATTTTTCAGACTTTGCATTCTGGAGGACCAATTGTCCTCACCTGAACTCATGACCCATACCAAGGAACTTACTCAACTCATCCTATGACACCTTTCATCCGGAAACTGACTCTGCACATGAACACAGTTTTGATGTCTTTATGATATTATCTTCAATCAGTCTGCAGCATTCATTCCCTGGCCATCTGCCCACCAACTTATCCTTAAAAACCCTAACCTAAAATTCTCAGGGAGGCAGATCTGAGAAATTCCTTCTGTTCTCGTTGTTCAACTGCTTTGTGATTATTAAGCTATTTCTCTACTGCAACTGCTGTTTCATACATTGGTTCTATTCTGTGCAGTGGGCATAAGAACCTACTCAAGCTGGCTTTTTTTTTTTCTAAATAAAAGGTGTCAGTCATTCTACCCTTACATTCTTCCTGATTCTAAATTTCAACTTTTGTTGTTGTATTTTTCTTACCATGAAATCTGTTTTTCAGTCATTGTGATTAAACTCAGGCTTGTTTCGTGGCAAGTTGTCTTCTTTTCCTTGATAAATCACAAAAGTTTTCTCCTAAATTTTGGCCAAGTCAAGTTTACCAGTCTTGGAAAAGAGAGGCTCATACCTCATTTTTATAGGAAATGAGGTTTGTGTGGGGTTTCAGGATCACCCCATCCAATACTTACCATGGTGCAAAAACTCGCCATGGTTTTATACAAACACAAGTAAGGACCAGGGGGTAAGTTCAAGGTGCTAATGAACAAATCTGAACTAGCAGTTGATTTGACATTGAAGCAAACCAGATCCTAGGCACTGAAAGCAATTTAACTTAATTACTCTCCCAGTATGGCGCAAAATGGGGAAACTGAGTGCTATAATCAGTGCCAGTCTTCATGACTGATCTGATTGTAAAAGCTGCAAAGGAAATCAGTTGCAGGGGTAAGGAGGGGGTGTTACTTGGTTTCCTTCCTACTACTTAGTTATTATTCTGAGGAATGCATTTAATTATAGAGAGAACTCGGTTATTTGCTTTCTAGTAGCTGGCTGTTTTTTTGGCTATTTCTACCGGCGCCTTTCCTTTGCTGGAAAACAAAGGCATGTTTACAACTAGACCACATCTTTTGGCCTCCATTTCAGAGCTTTCTCCCACACCAAAGGAAACAAGGTAGTGTAATGCAAATAGCCCCACAGTAGGCTACCTTTGCCAACCAGGGACCTATTTTCAACTGCATGCAAACTAGAACTCTCCAAAGACCTGTGAACTGTAAATAACTGGGTTGTGAAAGGGGTCAGCTTGGTTTAATTTAGAGCTTCACAGAGCTTTTCTATAGAAATTCAAACGCCGGTGAACAAACCCCTCTGGGGCCTTTAAAAAAAATCCCAGGGCCAGCACCTCTATTTACTCTTTAGACTCCTGCCTGTCTGGTGGAGGTCTGCTCTTAAAAGCTAATCAGTTCTACAGTTGCCGCCTGGGCTCCCAGAGGCAAGCCTGCCTCCTCAACACAACCCCTGAATTGAGCTGCCTGAGCACATTGCCGACCTGGGAACCTAGTAGAGGAAGCATTTGCAGAAAAAGCTGAGTTGAGGTTAATGCTATGGCCAGGAAATGGCTGGGAGGACGGACTGGCAGCCAGTGGCCAGATTTCATCAACCACACAGCACAACCCTTTTTTTCCACAAAGGCAGATTCAGTGGAGGACTACAGTAGTGTCCTGCCCCAGTAACACAACTGGGGTCCCCTGAGAAATTCCTTTTCCTGTGAAATATATCTTTAATTTCATAGTGGCCATAAAAGTCAAAAAAGTATACTGAGCCTCTTTGCTCTCTGTTAGTCCACTGCTGTCTGTCCCTTCTTCAGAAGTCATTGATAGGAAGACCCACAGTTCCAAAGAATCACAAAGAAAAGGGTTCCAAATGAATAGATGTCAGAATCAGAAAGGCTCTAAGGACGTTTTGTATCTGGCTAAATTCACTGTAGATGTATTGGCCCCTCTCAAGTTGTAGAAGGGGTGTATTAAAATACTAAACTTTCATTTTTAGCTACATCCAGAAAATGGCTTAAATTGTTGCAAAAATATTTGAGTTAGCTCTCTCTTTTTTTTTTTTTTTTGAGTTGGAGTCTCACTCTGTCGCCCAGACTGGAGTGCAGTGGCCGCTCCTGGCCACCTCAGCCTCGACCTGCTGGGCTCTGGCGATCCTTCCGCTCAGCCTTCCGAGTAGCTGGAACTACAGGCGCACGCTACCACACCCGGCTAATTTTTTTATTTATTGTACAGATGAGGTCTCACCAAGTTGCCCAGGTGGGTCTCAAACCCACGGGCTCAGGCAATCCACTCACCTCAGCCTCCCAAAGCGCGGGATTACAGGCTGAGCCACGGAGCCCGGTTTGAGTTAGCTCTTAAGAGGAACTTTCTTACTGCAAATAATGTGAGCATGGAATACAAAATAAGATGTTAACATGTCTTGCTCCAAGGGTATTTAAGATAGAGCAGATTTTTAATTATTTTCCTGAAGTTATGATAACAGTTATGCTTTGAACCAGATGATTCCACAAAAGTAGCAAACTTCACAAGATTTATTGTAAAGACAGCTGCCTACTCCAGCAAGAAAAATGAAAAATATCCCAGCATAAACCATAAAGCAAGCTAATACCCCATTATAATCACATCCTAGAACTGCTCCCCTATGAAAGAAAGTTTAAACTCTTTGATGCAGATGGTTTAATTTGTGATCCTCCTTTATCGATTTCTACTGCAAGAAGATACCATGACAGATTTCTGAAGATCAATGCCGACTCACCCAATGAGGGCAATAGGTCCTTTATAGTTCTAAAGTAGTATAATCTTCTCCTTGATCAGGGAAGTCTCTGCACTGCTGATTTCAATCATGGACAATCGGGCCTTTGTGATGGGATATCAGAGCCCCTCAAAAGTCTGTCTTCCTCAAATATCTGTTCTCCCCAACCCTTACACACTACAGCATCATTTTTTAAGTTCCATCTTTAAACAAGCCTTTGGTTAAGACCGTGCATCTATAGTGAAACCATCTCCAAGAAAATTTCATTAAATTGATTATGGAAAAAAATTATAAAAATCCAACTAGGGTTACAGCAGCAATCATTTAAATCAGCTTGCCCTTTGGTCTCCTTCCTTGTAGCTAGTCGCTGCTTACCACCCCAGGGTAACATGGCCCTTGTCACAAGATTCTTTATTCTTTTTCTGTTCTATGGATAAAATCTAAGACATTGTGAGATAAACTTTCTTTCTGATCTTCTTTTTTAGGTTCTGCATGCCAACAAAACTAAAACATCATACCAACAAAACTACAAGTATCAACAGGTCTGGATGTTCAGTAAAAAAGAGACCCATGAAGGGGTGCAGTTGCCACATCCTAATGATTTCATCCCCATCACCCTGACCAATCGATGACCCCCAAATTTCCAGCCCCTCACCCTTCACAAATCCCTTTAAAAACCTTTGCCCAGAATCCCTTCATGAAACATATTTGGAGTTTCAGTATTCCTCTCGTTTCTTCTCTTGGTGACTTGGAATTATTAAACTCTTTCTCTTCCACAACTCTGCTGTCAGTGTATTGGTCTGTTGCTGTGCAGTGGCCATATGAACCTGGCAGTCTTGTAACAATAATTATGCAAACATATTACCTGGAAAGGGAGATGCTTAATCAGTTAGTAGGTTAGTATCTATGAATTGTTAGTATCTATCCTATCTATCTACACTTTGTAAAGGCAATGAATACCTACCCTAAAGAGTTCCTAAAACTACCTGGCAGAAATCAAAGCCCTGAATGCAATAAACTGAGAAGGGTGTATACGTGTGTGTGTGTGTGTGTGTGTGTGTGTGTGTGAGAGAGAGAGAGAGAGAGAGACAGGGAGGGAGGGAGACAGAGAGAGAGAAAGAGAGAGGGAGGGAGGGAAGACAACAAGAATACCTATAGCAGGTTAGGGAGCTTGGAAGCATAGACAGGCAAACTCAAATGCTTCCCTAAGAAGGAGCACAGAAATTTGTCACCAGTGTGACTGATCAAGAAAAGCAGCTCTGAAAAGCAGCTGTTCTCTTGCTATACTATGCACAGCCCTGCACATAGGATGCCTGAGCCTGCCCACACAAAAATGAATATACTCACAAGAATGCACACATATGTATGTGCATATTTACAGTGATGCATTAAACAAAGATAGCCATGTGTGCAATCAGTTAACTCTTATAAAGAACAAAAGAATATACATAGTTCAAAAATATAAGGAATAGAGTTCTAAATCACTTCTAGACATGTCTTATCTCAATATATATTTTCATGATTATTTTCTTCTGGTAAGTTTGACCTTCTTCAGTTGGTTTCATAACCTCTGTATTTGATTTCTAGATGATAAAGTTTGTCAAATGCCAATATTTGAGCTTTGTTTACTTTAGCCTCACTGATTTGGCACCCCATCACAAGTGTAAGAAGAGTTTAAGCAAAAGCTGGAAAACCAGAGATTCTGTGGCCTTAGAGAAACTTGGACATTGCCAGCTTATAGTATCTATCCACCATGATCAGGTGAGTCAAACTAACTCTGCAATAAGCTGCGTGCCCAAATTAAGTGACTCTGTTGGGGACCTGAATGATTGAAGACTAGATGCCCATGTCTGGATTTTATCCATGAGATTGCCTTACCTTTCACCCCTAACCTCATTCATAGCTTGTTATGAACCAGATTCTTTTCTAAATGTCACTTTGCTTTGAATGAGCATCCCCTTCCCAATTCCTTTCTTTCCATCTCAACAGTTTGATAGCCTGTGACACTTTTATCTGACTCCCCCTTCTTGCCCACTCATGCTATTCTAGCTTATGCATTTGTATTTTTTGTTATTTGTTTTGGTTTTGGTTTTGGTTTTTGAGTTGGAGTCTCACTCTGTCACCCAGACTGGAGTGCAGTGGCCGCTCCCAGCCACTGCAGCCTCGCCTGCTGGGCTCCGGCAATCCTTCTGCCTCAGCCTTCCGAGTAGCTGAAACTACAGGCACGCACTACCACGTCCAGCTAGTTTTTGATTTATTGTAGAGATGAGGTCTTGCCAAGTTGCCCAGGTGGGTCTTGAACCCACGGGCTCAGGCAACCCACTCACCTCAGCCTCCCAAGGCGGGGGATTGCAGGCTGATCCACCGAGCCTGGCTATGCATTTGTTTTTTAAGCCAAAGCCCTGCATATCTCCAAGTGTTTCTTTATGCTTTTAGATTCTCCTTCCTTTACACTAACTTGACCTTGCAGAATACTTGATTGTCCCTGGTAAGATTCCACCCTGCCAATCTCTTTTCCTCTGTGAGTCAACAAAAAATAAACTGGAAAAGGAAGGTAAATCCAGACTACTTGGAAATATAGAGCAAATGAGGTAGAGCTGAGGGAAGTAACATTAGGTGAAACAGAGTAGAGACAGGAAGGAAGGAAAATAGGAATAAAACATAAGGGAGAGTAATCAGTTAAACCAGTTGAAAAGTTAGAACAAGTAGGCTAATCATAGCTTAAGCAAGTCACTTGGATCTATTTAGCCCTAGGGAGTCACTTCAAGCAACAACAACAAAAAAGAAATACAAAAATAAATGTCTTAGCAGAGAGAAGCTTGAGGAAATAAATGTCTTAGCAGAGAGAAACTTGAGGAAAATACAATTTGAAAAATAAAAAAGAAAAGAAGAAGAAGAAAAGAATTGAGAAGATCTGAAGGCCGTCAGTAGAAAAATCCATGATGGGGAAAGACTGGGAAAATGTTTGGATAAGTTTCAGAGAAGCAGCAGTCATGCAAACTTCCATAGGGCACAGCCCTTCTGCAACAAACCCTTTGCAGTTCATCCATCACTCATTAAAAGTGCACCAAATGAGCCTTAAGGGAGATAGATGACCTTTCATATTTTTTCATGAATAATGTTAGTGATGGTGTCTTTCATCTTCACGGAACTGCTCAGGGCCTAAAATAATTCCCAACCCTCTCTGCCCTTAATACAGAATGAAGTACAAGGCCCTATAGCAGAAGCACTGGGAATGCTAAGCATCCGTTTACTATTTAATTTTACCAGAGCACAAAGTCCTTATGAGCCAGTGTCTACTGTAAAATCTCCTTGGTGAGTCAGCATGTTGCTAAATTCTTATTTTAAGCCTTAGCACAGCTGTGGCATGGACATAAAAATACAGCTTCTTAACAGTAAACTATAGAAGTAGAGTCAATGTTCCTCTTGAGAAATAGCTCGAGGGGCTAAAATTTTTTCTCTTTTCAGTATCAGAGTACCATCCGGTAGAATGAAATATCAGTCACTAAACAAGATTCTTGGAACTTGATAATGAATAAATGGAATCTGAAAAGTGATAAAAGAGCATAGCTCAGATGGTTATGAAGCTCTGGGCAATATACTGCTACACAGATACTAAATATTAATACCATAATGGAATTTTAAGTTAATTTCTAGTCCAAAATGCCTCGAATATATTCAAGCTATATTCAGTATTCCTTTTCTGATTAATTTCTACAAAATTTATTTCTCTTTTTTATCTAAGCAAAAGAAAAGATAAAAAGTTTTGGTTGATGTTAACATTTCTTTTAATCAAAGTGGGAAAAGCAAAAATCTAGACCTGGGAACCTCAAATACTTGCTATAATTCCTTGTATTTTATGCAAAAATAATATCTTCCTTCCACATTATTTGAGTGCTTATTATGGTATATTGTAGGGGTGAAGCACACTTGAAAGGTTTGCTGAAAAATCAGCTCACAAAAGGCAGATTAGTAAGAGAAAAGGCATACACATTTATTAGTATGTGTGGGAGAGTAACACAAAATAATTATATAATATCCCATTGTTACAAATGTTTATATACCCCACTTCTCAGGAGATAGGGAGATGGGAAAGTATGAATGATTTTAGGAGGACAGTACATTATTTTTTAAGGAGAATCAATGAGCATGAAGAACATATAATAACCTGGGTCAAAGACTTGTTGGGTCCACCAAGCAGACAATGGTATGTGACAAGTCTGTACAGGTCTTATGACAGACTTTAGTCTTTCTTCCTGCAATATGAGTTTATTTAATGAAAGCTCATTGAAAGGATCAGAGGTAATTGTTTTCTTCTTTACCATGTCCAGACTTTAGGCAGATAGGGAATTTCAGAGAACAACTGTATCCTGTGATTTGGGAGACACAGAAGATTAAGAGACAGGAGAATGGGGGAAAAGTCAAAGAGACCCTACGGCTTCTTCTTTGGTTTAGTATGTCAGTGTGCTATATTTTGGGGTATTGGTTTCCGAGCCATCAACTCAAGAACATCTGCACTCCCAAATTTGCTCTGGCTGAGAAGTTCCATCTATGAACAAAGTAATATAAAAGTAATTCAGTAAATAGAGACATTTATTTAATTTTGTACCATCTCATTCCCTAATCTATCAACAATTTCTCAGTGTTTAGATAGGAAAAGATAATGAAGTTGTAGGTGCCAAGGGCAAACTTTCCCTTAGCCTTCTGAAGTTTCACTAAAAAATCAAGCCATAGTGAACAGATTAATAAAAGAAATGGCATACAAATATATTAACTTACACAGGGAAAGCCACATAGTGATTACCCCAGCCCCTAAAAGAGGTAGAGAAACTTATATACCATTTTGAGGTTACAGAAAGAATGTGGGTTTAGAGCATGGCCAAAAATAGGTGGCGGTGGTAAATCAGATTATGGTGGCAAGACAGGTTATGGGAGGTGGAAAAGAGTTCGCCTGGTTAGCAAAAGTGGTCTCCTTATGTAGATAAAACCTCACAAGCAGAAGCCTTTAGGGAGAATGCATGGTAAATATTTCTTTCAGACCTTTAAAAATCTCAGGCTCTAAGTTAATCTGTCCTAGATCCAGGCGAGGGAAAGCTTCTGAAAAATCCTGGCAATATCAGTGTGGCTTCTCTGCAGATACAAATCTCCCCACAAAAGACAGTTTTGCAAGGCTGCTTCTGTTTGCAGGTTCTCTGAACAGTCATCTCAAAATATGTCAGAGAACTTTTCTCTGGGTGAAATATTTTTATTTCCCTCAAAGCCATATTAAAATAAAAAATGAAAGGACGAAGAATGAAAGAAATAAAGAGAAGAAAGAGAGAGGAATAGAAGGATGGAAGAAGAAAAATAAAATAAGTTGGTTTAAGGCCTTCTATGAAACTAATTATGATCCATCCATCCTTTCTACTCATAGAATCCATCTCCGAAGTGGTTTGTGTTCAAAATAACGGAGGTGCACAGAGTGAGTTTTCAAGAACAGGAAGTAGTACAGCTGTTCCTGTCAAGACATTATCCACATCTTTTATCCGTCACAAGCTTGCTCAAAACATTTTTTCTTTCATGGGTGCAAACAAGGAGATGGGAATAAAAAGGCAAGAGAAGAACAATAATAATAGAAAAGGACTAGCTGCATTGATGTTCATCATAAAAGGGATCATGCAATTCAGAGACTGAAATAGCTGTCCTCATCCTCCACATATCCCCACACATATGCCCTCGTGTCTAAGTTCTATCATTAGAAATTTCTTTGCCTCTTGAACTCT